TTTTTGAGTTGTTATTCTTGCTTGTAGTATAAAATTGTCTTATATAAGTCATGACCTCTCACTTGTAGAAAGGGAACTAAATCTTCCGATTCACACACACACATATATAAGCTCAATTACATTTTTTTCTATATTATTTTCTAATAAATATTATTAACAATTAAACATTAAAAGATACTTCAATTTTTATCTATTTTAAAAGATAGGAATCCTTATTCTATTTTCTAAAATTCAATCCTATTTACAATATAATGATGAATAAAAGAAATTTAGTTCTTTCTTCTAAAGAATCTATAATTTAGATACAAAAATGAGATAAGATCTTATAAAGAAAACTTGCATATGAATTTATATTTTTGTTTTTGTTTTTAGCACAAGATTCCTTCAAAAAAAATATATATATATTGTTTGTTAAAAAAATTATTCTCTCGTTGTTAATTATAGCAAGATAGTGATAGTAATGGAATAATAATGGTGACGAGTGTGTGGTAACGATAATAATAAAGAGATGGAAGCCGAGGATGATTACCAACCAAAAAAACTACTCGATTAAAGATCAAGAAGGAAATTAATTAGCTATATTGGTTTTTAGCAATACAAGAAGTAAGATTCGTCAAGATATTTTATTAAAATCATTTACTATCATTTCCATGAAAAAAGAAACAGCTATGGAGATCAAGTTACGTAGCCATATCAAAGCGAAGCTTCAATTTTATCCGAATTGAGAGTTTAAGTATAAACTAAAAATTAATACTTCGGTATTTATAAGTCGACCTCTTCATTCTGAATTTCCTTTGCCATCTTATCTTCTTGACTTTCTTCACCCTTCGGATCATATATTTGGTGGCTTTCTTTAGTTGTTTCTTCACCGAGGTTTATTGGGTTACAATTCTTGGCATCTTTCTTTTCCTCTCGTGGCCTGTTGTTTGTCCTGTCCGGTCGCCTATTATCGGATTTTAATACTTGCGAGAAAAAAGAAAAATAAAGAAGAACAGAAAAAAAAACAAAAAATCACGAGGAGCGAGAAAGTTGTGTCTAAAAATCTATCCGACCTTTTCATTTGTGAGTTCATCATGTATGATTTCGGTTGCATCAATTGTTTTCTCATACCGATTTTCTCCCGCCACCAAATCGATTCATCGCTACTTCGGATGTTTTTCTTCTTTGCTTCGAATGTTCTATCGCCGACGGCCGGTTGGCCTGCTGGTCGTCGACGGTAGGCCTACCGCCTTGGTGCCTCTTGCGTAAGTAGATTGTTTTTTTTTTTTGGCTTAAGCTTAAGGACTAAGGAGTGTGAAATGTGAAGCTTAATACTTTTTCTTCTATGTTTTTATGTAGATGTCGCAATCTCAATCCATAGAGATGAATTATGAAGCCGTGGATTCAAGCAATCCTAATCCACAATCAAGTGCAACTCCAAGTAACACTCAAGACGGTGGCAAAGGAAAGAAGAGGAAATCAATGAAGCCAAGATCGATGGTGTGGGATCATTTCACAAAGTTTGAAGATGACAAGAAAAACATGAAGGCTAAATATAACTATTATGATAAGGTATTTGCTTGTAATCCTTCAAAAAATGGGACAACTTCACTTAGGTCTCATGTTTTGACTTGCGAAAAAACCCTCTTAGTTGTATTGACTCTACCCAAACTCAATTAGACCTAAGAAAGCTTGAAGTGGGAGAAAGCAATCTTACCACATGGAAGTTTGATCAAAATGTTAGTAGAAAAGATTTAGCTGAAATGATCATTCTAGATGAGCTTCCATTTAAGCATATAGAGGGTAGGGGATTCAAAACGTTTTTGTCTAATTTGCAACCTAGATTCAAGATTCCATCTCGTTTTACAATTTCAAGAGATTGCTATCAAATTTATCTAGATGAGAAAATAAAGTTGAAGCAATTTTTGAAACAAAATAGTCAAAGAATTAGCCTTACTACGGACACATGGACATCTATTCAAAGAATCAATTACATGTGTTTAAAAGCTCATTTTATTGATAATGATTGGAAGTTGCATAAAAAGATCTTGAATTTTTATCCGATTGATAGTCATAAGGGAGTAGATTTAGGTATTCCCATTGAGAAATGATTGATTGATTGGGGAATTGAGAAGGTTTTTAGTGTTACGGTTGATAATGCGAGTTCGAATGATGTGGCAATTAGGCACTTAAAAGATGTGGTTAAGAATTGGGATTATAGCATCTTAGATGGTGAATTCATTCATATGAGGTGTATGGCACATACTTTGAATCTAGTTGTTGTTGATGGGTTAAAACATTTTAATCCTTCAATCGTTCGTATTCGATCGATCGTTAGGTTTGTGAGGCAATCTCCGACTAGGTTGAAAAGATTTAAGGAATGCATTCAACTTGAGAAAATTGATTCTAGGAGTTTGTTACAACTAGATGTTGCTACTAGGTGGAATTCAACATACTTAATGTTAGAGTCAGCTCTAAAGTTTGCGAGAGCTTTTAAGAGATATGAGCAAATTGATCCTTTATATAGGAGTGAATTTGATATAGATCATGGTGATAATGTTGTTGGGCCACCTAATGTTGATGATTGGAAGTCTTGTAAGAAGTTGGTAGGCATGTTGAAAAGTTTTTACAATCTCACTTTGCGTATTTCGAGTTCTTTGTATGTGACTTCAAATATTTATTTTGAAGAGATTTATGCTCTCGAACATGTTTTGAAAAAATGGCAACGAAGTGGGGATTTAGATGATTTTACGTTGGCCAATAAAATGAAAGAAAAGTTTGAGAAGTATTGGGGGGATATTAAGAAAATGAATAAGTTGATTTATATTGCGACAATACTTGATCCTAGGCATAAACTTATATTTATTGAATTTTCAATCAATGAATTGTATGGTGATTTGGAGGGTCAAAGAATGTCAAATATTGTCAAGGAATCTATGCATGCTATGTATGATTTCTATTGTCGTTCGTCAACATCTCAAGGTGAAATTGGCCAAGGTAGTGGGAGTCGGAAAATAGATGTGGGTTGTGCAAATGAAGAAATGATTGATGAAGAAGAAATTAGAATAAAAAGGGAGATAATGATGCGTTTTGAAAAATACAAGTGTGATGTTGGAGGTGGAGGAAATAAAACGGAGTTGGATAAATATCTTAGTGAAGGTGCTGAAAATAATAGTGCTAATTTTAAGATTTTAGAATGGTGGAAAACCAATTCTCCTCGGTTTCCCATCCTTTCACAAATGGCTAGGGATATATTGGCGGTTCTCGTTTCTATTGTTTTCTCGGAATCGACATTTAGCACTTGGAAGAAGGGTTCTTGACTACTTTAGGAGTTCTTTGACTCCTAGCTTAGTGGAATCTCTTATATGTGCTCAAGATTGGATTAAAAATTCATCGACACCAATTATTATTGAAGAAAATTTGCAAGATGTTGAGAAAATGCAAGATGGTAATTTCTATAACTCTTACCTTTTCATTTGTTATATCTTTCCTTTATATTAATATTAAAAGTTTAATTTCTTTATCTTATATTTTCGAGTTACCACTTGCCACTACCTCTATTACAAGTGATTGAATCTTGATGGGTTGATGACTTGATGGTGTTTTGGCGTGATGAATGGTATGTGATATGTGTAAGTTACTAAGTTTGATTTTTTATTTCGTTGTTTGTGCAAGTTTAGTCGGTAAGTGGGAATTGTAAATTTTCATTTTCATTAAACTAGAGAAGAGAACCATAGTAGGTAGTAGCCTATCGCCGGTGCCTCATGCCCACCGGAAGTAGGCCTACCGCCCACCGCCGTAGGCCTACCGCCGTGGCCGGTAGGCCTGCGCCGGCAGGCCTACGGCAATGGGCGGTAGGCTTACCGCCTTGGTGTCTCCGCCACTGCGGCGATGGGCGACGAGCCTACTCGCCTTTGATTTTCGTAGCATGTTAATATTCTCTTTCGAAGCATTGAGTGTTTGTTGGGATTTCATTCTATTGCAGATCTCGAAGGAGTGAAGGTATTGCAAATGCACGAAATCATTTGTTTTAGGACAGGAAGAGAGCTCGTGTCTTGTCCTCTTTGTTGAGAAATGAGAACATACATTCTATCATGCTTTTGTTGTTTAATGTCGATTGTATTGTATATGGATCTTTGTTTCATCAACAATTATTTTGCATGACTTATTTTCTTTTTTGATATATGAATGTTAAACATGTTGGATTGTTGGGTGTTTAAATTTAACTTTAATTGTGAATTTTTTTTTTTGGTGTTGAATTCTTTTTAGAAAAGAAAGTGGTTACTTGTTAGCTCGGCATTGCTAATTACTCAGCTTAGGCAAAGAAAAAATAAATAAAAGTTTTGGGAGAACTGTCTAAAGTTTGAAATGGAGAAGTAATGAAAAAATTCGATTAAACCGAATTATTTCAAAACCGAACCGAAATAATTTGGTTACAAACCGAATTAACCGAATTAAGTTTGGTTCGGTTTCGGTTTTTATTTTTTCTACTTTAGTTAACCGAAAACCGAACCGAATTATGCTTAACCGAACCGTTTAACCGAATACTCACCCCTAATTGCCATCCCTAACTCGTGAACTCCTAGTGGTGACCGGCAGTTGTGGTTGTTTGGGATTGGGTGGAATATTACTATCACATGGGCCAGCAATTGTCTGATGCAGAGAAAGCTGGGCTTTTGGACTTTAGTCTGCTGGGGGGTTAAGGCTTGTTGTTTGTTAAAATGGGCTTGGACTTGGGTAAGGTGGGACGGGCTGTTGGACCAATATGTTAGCTTCAACAGATTCTTTGACAGCTTTTGCCGAGATTTCTGATCTGATTGATGGACTAGGATAAAATGATTTTAAATGACTTGACTTCAAAAAAAGACTTTGGAAAAACAATTATATTTTTATTACAATTCTCCGTAAACCCAATGCCTAACCTAACCCCCCAGTTGGGAAAGTTGAACGGCAAAATCGTTTCATCGAAAACCTCAGAATTTGAGACAGGAGAGAACCAGCTGATCTGAATCGGAGCCTATATGTCGGATTCTCAGAACAGTACGCCAGGTAATTTCTGTTTTCGTTTAAAAAATTCAGGTGACTTTTCGATAATAAACATTTTATTTTAGAAGCTGTTTTACTGTTCCTGTCTATAGACTTAACAATATTTTCCTTGTATAAATCGAGTACTGTTTTTTCATGCCGAATTAGAAAATATATAATCTTACGATGGCCTTAATCGTTACTTTTTCTTCATGCCGTCGAATTTCATTATTCTTCCTACCGCTAACAAATGGAACATTGGAGAGGGGCTAAAAAAAATGATGTTTATGAACTAATTGAAAAGTTTTGAAGTCTGGGAGTGTATAAGTGTTGTGTTCTTCTCAGCGGTGTTTGGTTGGCAAGTTGAGAGTTCTGGGTTCAGCAGCAAGATGAGAGATTTTGATGAGTTTATAGCGGATCTTGATATCCAGTAACTGCCTTAAACCACACTTATTTGACTTGGTCATGATGCAGAGCTAGTTGTTTCCTCACATATTGATTGATATCTTTTACTGGCGAACATGAAGATATGTGTTTGAGCTTGGTTTGAGTTTCACACTAACCTGCATCGGGTTATTCCTTGTTGAACTTGTGTCCAATGCCATGAAATGATAGACAACTTTATATTGTTTGAGAAACATGATAGGGAGTGGTGGAGTAATCGCGTTGTGGAGGGGTGGCTGGATTTTCCTTTTTTGGTTACTTGTGAATAAAATGGGACAGAGTGGAATTTAGCAGTTGTTTTGAAGTGGGTTGGAGACCTTGATCGAAAGGATAATGCTGGAGACTCCATTGAGGATCATCCGAACAGAATTTGTTAAAGACGATAAAGTTGGGGATGGGGAAGGGGGAGAGGGATGGCGACATTGAAGTGTTGGTGGTGCTTGTACCATTTGGATTTTCCATAGGGTTTCTAACTTGCTAGTGGACATAGACTTAGCAATATTTTCCTTGTATAAATGAAGTACTATTTTTTCATGCCGAATTCGAAAATAGATAACCTTACCAGGGCCTTAATCGTTACCTTTTTGTTGTACCCGTCGAATTTTATTATTCTTCTTACTGTTAACAAATCGAATATTGGAGAGGAGCTCAAAAAATGATGTTTATGAACTAATTGAAAAGTTTTTAAGTCTGGCGGTGTGTAAGTGTTGTGTTCTTCTCAGTGGTGTTTGGGTGGTTAGTCGGGAGTTCTGGTTCATCTGCAAAATGAGAGATTTTGATGATTTTATAGCGGATCTTGATATCCAGTAACTGCCTTAAACCAACTCCTATTCGGCTTTGTCATTTTTCGATATGGAACACCCATGTCGAGAAAGGGTTTGAACTTTTTATAGCTAATCTAACCCATGATTGATCTATGCCTATCTACCTACCAACAAATATTTATGATTTTCGAAGAGAAACCATTTTTTTCATCCCCCTTTGAAGCACCAAACCAATGCCCTAGGATTCTAGAAGTAGAAAAAAAAAAAAAAAGTGTGAAAAGGTGTCCCCCCCCCCTCTCTGGGAGGGGGTTGATTGACTGACTAAGAATAGTGATTGACTAAGTATAGTTGTGGGGAACAAATTGCAGTTAACTCAAGATTAAATATCTAAAATTTCTAAACTTCTCTATGATCGACTGCATCATCTACTGTTATAAGTATATATTGCTAGAACTATGGCAAAATTCACTTTTTAAGTACACATCAATGACTCTATATACCTTCTGAGGCCAGGATTGTCAGCCAGAATTCCTGCCAGAAATGTTACCCAATTTCGAGCCAAATTGTAGCATGTAATGTCTTCCATGCACCTAAATGGTTCATCTGATGGGTTAATATAGTAGCTTGTTATTGTTGATATAATAAATTTTTGCTAAACCCATATTATACCTTTCTTATTTGTAGCAAGACTATTTTTTGCATTTTGTGAACCGAATGCATGCACATCCAAATGCTTGGAAAACTTTTACCATAATTATATTGCCATGAAAATTATTTCTGCATATGTTGATTTCAATCTCTTGCAGTTTTATGCATGCAAAAGATTAGTAATGCACAAAATATTTTGTTTCATGTTGCCATGACCATGACATGACAATTATTTGTGCAAATGTTGGTTTCAATTTCTTGCAATTTTATGCATGCAAAAGCTTAGCAATGCGCAAAAGTAATATTGTGTTCTATATCATGCATAAGATAATATCTTTAATTTTTCCAAAGGACAGTTCAAATAATGAAATGTAATTTATCAGTTGGACTCTTATTTTTCCAGCAAAGCGAAAAATAATCTTTTCAACAATCCCTTTTCTTCTCTCTCCATTTGTTTCTTGTTCTATCTCCTCCTCTATTGCACTTGTTTACTAACCCCTCTCCAAATATACGATCACTGCATGATGTGATTATTACACTGCTCCAAAAGCATTCCTTCATGAAGATGTGTGTGTGTGTGTGTACCTTCTTTATTGTATTTTTTAATATCTATTATCACCTCTCTCATGCAATTTATCTGCACCTGAGAAATCCATCAACTCACTGCAATAGAAAAATCCATCAATATAGAATTATTGGCTAGATTTGTAAAAAAATAAATCCACCTATAGGCTGCGATAGAATTTTCAATGTTTTGATTAAAAAAAATTGAGCGTGTAAGGTTGACAACAAAACAATCATGGAATTGAAAACAAAATCTCTGTCCATTAATGGCACATGATCTTTTGAAACGATAACTAATTTCCTATTGATTCCAGTTCTGTTTCTCAATATGGGAATCCTTAATTATTTGGATTAGTTGTCATGTGAGTGTATCTCTTATTATAGTAATTAGTACCGGATTAGTATTGTTTCCTTTCAAACTAGGAGTAGGAATGAGGCTTTTAACTAGGATAATAGCAAGCTTTGTCTTGGAAATAAATCATTGAAGTTTTCTTAAAAACCCTAACCCTTTTTTTTTTTTTTTTTCAAGTTCTGTTCTGTTTTTTAGTTTTAGCCATTCGGTAGCTGTAGTTGTTGTTTGTGCTAGTTCCATCTTCCGACTCTACATCAATTAATATAGTGCAGAACTTCTGTTCTTATCAAAGCAAAACAGAAGTCCTGTTGACAATCTGGAAGCAGGGGCATATGCGTTTTTCACAACCAATGAAAGATAAGCAAGGACTATCGTCTTTTGGCATTCTTTTTATATGTATATATTTTCATTTTCATTTTCATTGGGGGGTGGGAATTAACGGATGAAAAAATATATTTAGAAAAAAATGGTGTTGTAAAGTAATATTTTATCTGTTGTGCATTTTTGCCGTACCATAGAATATCTTAATAAATAAATGCTTCATCTTGCACTATTCAACTTCTAACCCTAGTTAAAATTTTCCAATTTGGCACAACTTCTTCTACTGGATCCCTCATTATTCTCTTTCAGGCACAGCAGTGGAATCAATTGAGGTCTTTTCGAAAATTCTATCTCAGACTGACATAGCGAGCAGATTAAGCATACCTCTCGGCTGTCTAAAGCATTTCTCATTCCCTCAAGGGGAAAGCTCAATTGGTTTCGATGTAGTTGATTCTCTTCAGCAATCCTGGCCTTTTACGTTATCTGTCCGTCCTCAAGGCCATGCTAAACCTTCCATCACTGGGAGTTGGACTAGTTTTGCGAGGGCTAAAGGTGCTAGGTTAGGTGATGTTGTTTCGTTATACAAACATATTCATGCAGATGGTGAAGTGAAATACAGCATCACGGTGAAGAGAAAGATTTTCAATGTTTTGGCAAATATGACATAAAGTCATTCCCTAAAAGATAGCTACCTCAAGCTTGTTCTTATTTCTCTGCTTGATTAACATGAGCTGCTCAGCTCCGTTGTTCATACTGCTGCATATATATATTCGTCTTTTCTGCCGTATGGCTGTAGTTGTTCTGTCTATTACTTGCATGACAGTCTTTCGAGTAAGTAAGGAGTAAATGCGTGAAATTGTTTGGCTTGCAATTCTATAATGAAGCAAAAATGGATTTGGTAGTTTTTACTGCTCACGCTGTCTTTTGCTTCTTCTATATTAATAAGATATTGTTATCCAGATGGTGTCAGTTAAAACATCTTCGTTAGTGCAACACCAAGGTACTATTTGGTATTACTGTGGTTAATTTTACTCCTTCCTCCCCCCCCCCCCTCCCGCGCGGAAAACAACAAAAAGTGGTTTTTTGTTTTTAGATTTTTTTTATTTTTTTATTTGTGAATATCATCTTACCAACATTACCATTCCTATATTATCACAATCAAGGTTCATTGTTGTGCGTCGTTGTGCTTTTCATCACGTGAGCTAACGTTTTGTTTTGTATTTAAGTATTTAATAAAGAAATAATTATAACATCAACATAATAAAAAATTGAAATGAACAAAAATTATTCATCTAATTGGTACTTTTCAATATGGTTATCTTCAACAATATAGCTTGTTTCAAGAACATGGGAAACATGGTAAACCAAAAACAAATAAAGAAATCAATAATAATGTTCAATCGCAACAATAAAAAAAATTAAGGATGCTAAATCAGAGAAAAAAATAACTGTTCAGTAGGTGGTGGGTTCTAGTTAGAGCACATTTTATTGTCAATTTGTGATTCTAGTTAATAAAATATTTAATATCCATGCATAGATTTGTCCCTTTGGATCATGCCTATTGGTAGTGAGTTAAAAGTTAGCAGAGTAGAAGAAAAAATCATATTACCACGACAAATTAAACTGAAATAGAACTATTTTAAGCTCAAATACGAACACATTAATATCCAATAAGCATAAATAGGAAATAGAATCCAAACAAAATCCTCAAAAATTCTACATTTAAAACTCAGTAGTTTATACTAATATTGTCAGCAAACATATTAAGCTAAGTTTATGAGAGTTGATCATCAAGAGGCTGCGAAGTTTTTTTGCCCTGTAAATGGAGACAGGAAAATGGCCTTCTTCTGAAACCTTTATGGTTGAGTGACGAATTCTTTCGTAAGAAGTGCCCGTGTTTGATTCTTCAAGGTCATTGACATCCACCATCAGATATTCATTTTTGGTCAGAAATTGGGCAAAATCGTGCACAACATCATGCATCTTGAAAACCATAACATTTTTATGTGGTAACTTCACCCTTCGAAAATCTTGAAAGAAAGAATGTGCTGCTAAGATTTCCAAGTACTCCTCACCAACTAACTCCATATCTCTCCTTCGAGTCTCTTTAAGGCAACCTTGAGCCATCCACATCTTTATCAAATCATCTTTGTCCATCTTGTAGTCTTTTGGAAACGTGGAACAATATATGAAACATAGTCTTACCGCAGCAGGTAAATCATAATAACTCAGAAGCAAAGGTGGAAATATTTCCTCTTTCAACATGTTGTAGCTCCCATAGTTCACTAGATAAAACATGTCCCCACTCTTCCCTTGTTCTTTTAAACTGCATTAGTCCTCCTAATACCTTGGCAGCTAGAGGCAAGCCTTTGCACTTGTCTGCAATTTCCTGGCCGATCTCTGTCAATCTTTCGCAATCATCTTTGCTTCTTTTATGGAATGCCAACTGATTGAAAGATGACCAGCATACCTCCTGAGACAATTCCGCAAGGTTGATCCTGTGGTTGGTTCCCATCATGGTTGCGACAGTGTCTTTGCGAGTGGTCACTAGAATTCTGCTTCCTGGAGCACCACCTCCGAGAGATAGTTTCAGTGGTTCCCATTGTCTATAATTTTCTGTCCACACATCATCAAGGATAAGAAGGAATTTCTTTCCCTTGATGGATTCAGAAATTCTATCCAGAAGTGAGTGCAATTCAACTAAATTTGGAGCAGTCCCAGTGAGAACCTCAAGGACAGCTTTTGCAATTCTAGTCTCATCAAATGGATCTGAAACACACACCCATATTCTTTTCTCAAAATAAGCCCGAACATCACCATCGTTATAGGCTAGTTGGACGAGAGTTGTCTTTCCAATTCCTCCCATTCCTACTATGGAGATGACATTCACTTCCTCTTCTTCATGACTATTTCCACTCAACAACATGCTGACTATAGTTTCCTTCTCATTATCTCGACCAATCACGCTTGATTCATCAACAAAGGAAGTACTTATGAAACGATCAGTTTCTTCAATGGCCCTGTACAATTCAAAGCCATACATCGCTCTCTCTTTGGCTATCACATCTAATCTTTCACTGACCTCTTTTATCTTGCGGGCGATATCATGACGGTGAATCACTTTTTGGAAACAAAAGCAAGGGGAGGGCAAGAAGGAACATACCATTTTCTTTGAAACCTTTTCGTTTTTAGCTTCCTCATCTGTTTGTCTTTTAAGGATGGCTTTACTCCACTCATCCAGCACGTCATCAATATCATAAAACACTTCTTTAAGCTTGTTGATCCAATCTTTGACAGCATCCTCCTTGAGTTGTCTTCTCTCAGCATCTTCAGGAACAGCTTGGATTGCAAGGAGATTGCTATTAACCTTATGGACTTCTTTCTCCACCCCCATCACTAGTTTAACCTCTTCGTGTACCTGCTGGGTAATGATTCTTGTAATCTGCTCCAAGAGCGGGGATACAAGTGCATTTGCCATTCCTTTGTTGATTTGTTCGGTATTACGTTGGAAGAAAGAGATAGAGAAAGACTTGTTTTTGAGGCACAGAGAGAGAAACAGAACAAAGGGCTGTCTTGTTTGGTGTAAAATAGCTTATCTTCCTCATTTCATCTAGGCCCAAAAGAAAATAAAAAATAAAGATTATTTGGAATACCAGTCGGGAAAGGGCAATACATGCGACAATTTTGTGGACAACTGTCTTTGCTTTGTTCTCTTTTGGAGAAATATTACTCTCTACCTGACGTAGAAATAGCCAACTTTGCATTTCAACTCAACGCCGAAGAATCTATGATAATCAAATTAGCAACAATATTAGATAATGTTCAACATATAGGGACTCAATTGAAAATTACTTTTGTTTGTAGACCTGATTGAGAATGAGAATTAGATAATGGTTCAGGGCTTAGTATGTAATTTTCCACGAATAAAATATTTATTGAATTAAAAGAAAAAAAAATTAGCAACCAGATTCCATGCTTAATTAAAAGCCCTATATAGAATTTTTTTTGTCAATAGTAACAAAACTCATATTACCAATTTATTTATATATAAAAAAAATGACATTTTATTTTGGCTATAGAAAAGGGCTTCTGAGGGGGAAAAAAAGGTTTTTAATGATTCATTAGTTTAAGTAAGGTTTTTATTTTACAATTAACTAAGAAACTTTAGTTCATTAGTAAATAATAATAATAATAATAATAATCTCATGTCAAGCAATTTTTTATATACACAATAACTCAGCCCACAATTCGAATTATTATCTTATCGTTATCTTTATATATTTTTTTGTTTATTTTTTATTTATCGGAATCCTAATGAATCCATTAGGCTACACAATGAGGATAATCCTCCCCATTACATAATTATTAAAAAAAAAACTAGAGTCATCAGGATTCAAATCTTGTTTCACTAGGAAAACTAGCTGAGTACACAATCGTTGGACTAAGCCTGCTTATTTATTTATTTGTTTTCAAATCTTCTGGCATGGAGTCCAATTGAATTCTCCGTGGTCTGATGGGAGTTATAGCTTGCTCTCAGGAACCCCCTTCGGTGCATGTCTAGACCTCTTCTCCACCACCCGGGACAGTTGCTTCACTGCATCTTTAGGGAAATGACGGGGTTTGCTCAGCCATTCACCTCCATCAACAACCAATGTTGTTCCATTTACATATTTTCCTGAAACATTAAAAGGAGTCATAGCATTATTACCCAAGTACAAGAAAAATGAGTAAAGAAGATGCAGCAATTTAATTATACAAAATCAGAGGAACAAAAAGGTTTTCAGATTGGGAAGGCAATTAGGTATCGGTGATAACTTGGATCACCATATGATTTCTGGCTTACCCTTTTGCAAATATAAGATATGGTTCAAGGTTAACTAAGGTGTTTATATATAAGATGCTTTGCTTGCAGTCTCTGCGAGGGAACTTGAAAAGGCTCCTAAAAAATTTATATCATGGAAAAAAATGAAAAATTCACATTTTGCACGGGTGCATTCTTCCCTAGGATGCTCAGAGTTCATGAGGTAGTCAAAGAAAGGCAGCCCTCTCCTCTCCATCTCCATTTCCTAAATCTTAACTTCCTCACATGTAGTCTCTGAACGATTAGGAACACTCACTTGCAGAAGGTGGCAGAGGATGTCTCTCTTTCTATATTTCAGAATGGTGGCTGGGGATTTCTAAAATGGAAAAAAAAAAAAAAAAGGGCAATGTGATCAATAAATAAGAGACGAAGTCATAGCATTAAGATCATAGAAGGTTGTTCTAATGTATCAAGTTATTTCAGTAAATAAAAAGTACAGCTTCTCTCCCTCCCTCTATCTCCACAGCCTTTTTCACTTCTAATCTCGCACTAATCCTCTTTAGCTGGTTGCGAAAGAGTCTCCATGTCACAGCTACTTGCTGAATCGCAGTAGGAAAAAGAAACTACATAATGAATTCAAAAGCAAGATGCTGCTGCAATCGCTGGTAGGGCTAGACATGTTCATTTACAACCTATGGTAGAAAAGGATTTCTTAAAATATAGACTCTCAAAAAGCTTTTCTTTGACGCAAGTTAATAATACAATTGATATATTCACTAACTTGGTAAGAATTCTGAAACTTGTAAAAGAAACATCTGAATGTTTGTAAAGGACACTGTAAATATGTTGTAGGCAAAGAACTAAGGAAAATGATCAAGTGATAGATATGTGTGACACTAACCTGCATCAGATGCAAGATAGAGAGCAGCCATAGCTATATCCCATTTCTCCCCCAATTTAAACAGAGGCATCTTCTCCATAGCTTTGCTCGCTATTCCCTCAAGTCCAAGTTTACTCATACCAGCAGTGTCCCCAATAGGCCCTGGAGCAATCCCATTAACTCTCATGTCATGATCTGTTCCCCATTCCAATGCCAAGTTTCTTGTAATGCTATCAACTGCTGCCTGGACAACGATAAACACAACATTGTGAAGATATTCAATACGCAGTTTAGAGCATAACCTTGTTAACTTACAAATGAACTAACCAACCTTGGCAGCAGATACATGGATTTGATACCATGAAGCAGTATAATGCAAAGTCGCACTGATGTTTATTATTATTCCACCAGCAGTAGATGGATCCTTCCCAGGACCGCCTTTCTTAAGATACTTGAGTGCTTCATGACACATTGTAAAAGTGCCAACAGAGTCTATATCCATTACTGCAGAAAAGGAAAAAATTGGAAAAAAGTTCAACTCTGCTCCTCCAAGACCAACTTTGCTGGACTATCAATGTGAGACTCTTGTTATGTTCTTGGAACAAGTGGTACAGGCTTCAATACTATTATGCTAAAATTCTTCGAATGACTAGAAAAACTGTTAACCATCTGAAATTCAACTGAAATAATTATACCAAACTTCGCAAAAAAAGTTTTAACGAGATTTGAAATACTCAAAGTCAAAACCAACTGCACGAATTATACTGATGCTTGTGAATAAAAAATACCTGTCCTAAATCCGTTGGGGGATAAATCCTCTGAAGGCACAAGAAAATTGCCGGCTGCAGCATTCACAAGAATGTCAAGCCTACCAAAATGTTTGACAGTAGATTCCACAACTCTATTTGCGTCTTCTCTTTTGCGAACATCTCCCTCGAATCCTATTGCCTGAAGCATACACAATTAAAAAATGTTTTCACTTACACATTCAGAAACTCAGAAACTCATCCAACTAAATACTGCTCTGTATCGGATGTTTGAAGCATCCAGTTCAAGGCAGTTTCTGTTCCTCTTCAATGTCTTTGGATTTCTAGAAGGCATGGAAGAATCCTCCTTTCTTACAAGGCATACAACTTGTTGCTAAGACCTCTTAGTAAACGACTGAAAAGTTGCTTATCGCAAAGAAACGACATGTCGTTTCAAGTAGTCAACCGACCACACAGAAAGCTTTATCGGTTGAAAAAAAACAAAACTGGCCTAATTCCCCACACTTTTCCTATGCTTTCTCAGCAACCAAACAAATCCAAGAAAAAAAAAATCACACACAGAGAAATAAAACAAAATAAAAATAACCCAGATGGCCAAATAGAAGATCACATCAGAAAGATGGAGAGACCAATTATAACAATCACATAACCAGGGAAAAAAAAAAGGGAGAGAAACTTACAGAAATGCCAAGAGAGTGAAGAGAGGCAGCAGCAGAGTCAACAACATGTTTACGTCGACCCATGATAGCAATAGATGCTCCATGTTTGCCAAGTTGTAGAGATATCTCATATCCAATTCCTGACCCACCTCCGGTCAATAAAGCTACCTTCCCTCTTAGTATCTCTGGCTTAAAAGGTGACTCCGCCATTGATAGACACTTCTTCTTGCTTGTCTTTCTTTCTCCGAGACAAGGCCTTTTATCTCTATGAAATTCGGTTACAAAATATGTCTATGGCTGGATGGTCGATGGTCGTTGACTCGTTGGTATAGAATGCGCCATGTGGTGTGAAAAAAACTAAGAAAGTTCTGTCGTTTTCTATCTTGTTTTGTTCCTTTTTATAACCTATAGATCCCAAGTAATTATTGATTTTGTCAGAGACACTCCGTCAGGCCAGCGATGTCAGTGACTCAACATAGAAATCCAACCAAATTCATATCTGTATAAGGTTTGCGTAAAAATCGGATGTAGCAGTAGGTAACGTTAAGAAAAGAACTCGATTGAATACAAAATTTATTCAAGGAATTTGAATAAAAACTCTCACAAATCATCAGAACTCGTCCCCTTCATTTTTTTAATTGATACAGTATTAATTATTCCATTTCTTAATTATAATTGTACCATTAAATGTGAAAAGATTCATAATCTAAGAGTCATTCGTAACAATTGAAAACATTTAATGATGGATAAGAATTTTATGGCTTGATTCATGATTTTAAATGGTGAATTAAGTTCACTTAATAATTTTTTTGGAATGGTTCTCACATACCAATCCATTTATATAATTAGATTCTAATTTATTTTAAAAACAAATTATTAAATAATAATAGAAATCAATGATGAAAATTGTCGATGTATAATGACATATTAATCAATGAGTAATCATAATTATTATCAATTATGTATCATCTTTTTAATTTTTTATATTTAATGATGAATTGAATTATATTAAAAAAAATCAGTATCCAATATATAAAAAATAAATGAATATGATAATAGATATTTATTATTTTATGTATTTATATATATATTTTGTCGTTATGACATGTTTTTGTTATTGTCGAAAACAAAATAGAACAGTCGTACAGTTGAGTCAGATGTGCACCAAACAGAAGACAAAATAGCTACTTGCCCTGTCCAGTTCCACTTCTCTTGTTCTGTCTAACATATGAAACACGTTCTTGGTGTGGCTACCCAGATAGAATCCATTGCTGAGTGTGCCTTTAACTAACTCCAAAGGATTATCATTAAGGTTTTTCAAAAAATAAAAGAATTAATCTTGAATAAAAAATTATTTTATTATCTTTTTCGTTACTGTATTTTATCATTTTATCTGTTAAACATTAATATTTTAGGATAATAACCATGGATTACTAACTAATTAACAATGGTATTTCAACGATAAATTAGCCAAAATTCTATGATGTTTAAATTTTGAAATAAAAACAACACACAAGACTTCCATAATTTTTATGTCAAGAAATCCTTAAATGTGAAGGAAAAAAACTAGGCTCAGAACAAAAACTTTCACTCTAAAATAATAGGATTATAGAAGATCTTATATACAGTTGTTTTTTTAACTAGAAATTATACAAAAATCAATATGTTAAAATTTTATTTAATCAAACTTAAATTTACTATTCAATTGAAGCTACAAGATAAACAACTCACACTCAAAATTCTATTATTATTCTCGAGCCCTTCTATTCTTTTGCTCTCGTTTTTCTTTTTCGTTTTTGTTATGCTCCTTGTTCGTAAGAAAATTCTATGGCCGGCATTGCATAGATTCGGTTATTTGGATTCTTGTAATCCACATTTCCTGGTTATTGTTTTACGCTATTTTCCTCTTCTAGACCGTCCTTTGTTTTTCCTTATCAATAAATAAATTAACTGACCTAATTAATTGTTTATATGTTAACTGAAAATTAATATTAATTTTAAGTTATGGAATATTAATTAATATTTAATATTAAAATGTTACAATACATTATGTACTATTTGGGGTGCCAAGGATTCCATATATAACATATGATCCCTCTAGCTTCTGCCAAATAAATTAATCTGCCAATACTTTTTAGTCTTTCTTTTCTGATCTTTTCTTGTTTTTATATAAACCTCCAAGCATTCCAATATGAATGTTAAAATCCTATCCAAAAAATTGATAACTCCAGCATCTCCAACTCCTCCCCACCTTCGAAACAACAAAGTATCATGGATAAGTAAGTTTCAGTCACCACTCTTACATTTACCTAACATTTTCTACTACCCATCTATTACTGATGAAGACAACATAGAAAGAAGTAAGCAATTGCAAAAATCATTGTCAGAGACCTTAACCATCTTTTACCCCTTTGCTGGAAGATACATTGATGACAATCTCATACTTGATTGTAATGACGAGGGAGTTGAATATGTGGAAACCCAAGTGAGTGGCTGCCTCTCACAACTTCTTGAAGGAGGAGAGCTTGAGACCCAGTTGCGGAATCATTTGGCTCCAATTCCACTTCAACCTGAAAACAGTCCTATAGTACTAGTTCAATTCAACATGTTTGAATGTGGTGGGGTGGCCATTGGTATATGTATCAAGCACAGGACGGCTGATGCATATACAGTATTTGCGTTCATTAATGCTTGGGCTACCGCAGCTAGATTAGGGTTTGATAAAGTAGCTCCACCAAGTTTCCAATTTCCTTCCATTTTCTCGTCAAGAGATATACCTACTTTTATTCCAAAAGATAATGGAGATAAAAAGGTGGAGATTCAGAAGAGGTTTGTGTTTAATGGTGCGGCCTTATCGAAACTGAAGGCTGTAGCTAGTGCCGATATTAATACATCGCGCCAGCCGACTCGAGTGGAGGTCGTGACAGCACTTTTGTGGAACACTCTTACGGTGGTGGGTCGAGCGAAACATGATCGGTTTAGGCCTTCCCTCTTGTCGCTTACATTTAACTTGCGAGGGAAGATAGCAATGCCTATACCAGACAATTATTATGGGAACCTTACAAGTCCAGCACTTGCGCGTTTTACACCAGATGATCATGATGAGAACAAAATAGAATTTCATCACTTTGTAGATCGAGTTCACAATGGAATAAGGAAGCAGGTAACAGATTGTGCAAAGATTTCAAGTGAAGATGACTTGTTTTCGAAGGTGATTAACGTCAAGAGTGAGATGATAGAAGCATTTAACAGCAGCGATGCAGATTTATATATGTTCACTAGCTGGTGTCGGATGCCAATATATGAAGTAGATTTTGGTTGGGGAAAGCCTGGTTGGTTTAGTGCAGTGGCGGTCCCTGGTCATAATATGTTTCATCTCATTGACACTGAAGATGGTGATGGAATCGAGGCATGGGTGAGCTTGGAAGAAGATATTATGCTGCTTTTTCAAGAAAATTCTGACATTAAGGCTTTCACTGGCCAAGAATCACTAGTACATCATTCTTAAAAAAGTCTTCGCGAAGAGAATAATAATAACATAGTACATCATTCGTTAATTGTAGTATTGGTAGAAGAACAGCGGTGGTGGCGGCGGCAGAAAGAGCGGTGACAGTAGAATAATAATAATAATAATAGAGATAATGGCACTTTGGGTGTGTGTACTTATTGGCTTTTTTCTATTTTAAGTGTTTGTATTCGTGTTTTTTTTTCCTTCGTATTTTTACAATGATTTTTTATTTTTATTTTAATACTTTTTTTCATAATCTATTTGAAAATTACTAATATGTCCATTAAGTGGACATATGACATTGAAAAATGGATTCATATGTAGACATCTTATTGATATTATAGTTTTTAAATCATAGAGATAATGACTAAATCGGTATATGTAATGATTTTTTTATTTATTAAAGTGCTTGTATTTTTTTTTTCTATTGAAAGATATATCTTACTATTTACCTTTTTTATTTGATGTGCTTGTATGCTTGAAATGTCTATACTACTTTTATTTTTTATTGAGTACTCACTTTTTTTTTCATTTATGAGAAAACATTAATTTTAAAATACAATTAACTTTGTTTCAAATAGTATAGTGTTAAAGAATAATATAAATCATATCATGAAATCTCATTTAACGACTCAATTAGTTTGTGAGTTGAAATAGTTCTATGACATGATATTAGAATCTTGATAATCTAACGGTTAAAAGTTCGAATCATACCATCTTCACTTTTTCTTACGTGAGTTTATGTAAATTTCAAGCTCAAAAAGTTTTCACTTGAATGATTGTATTAGAGAATAATATAAATTATATTTTAAGACATTACATAACTCGCTTAAGCTTTTGGGCTGATATAGTCTTTTGACATATAAAAATTAAAACATTAAATAAAATTTTTGATGAATTGATAATTGTAATATAAATTGAATAAAATGCAATGCAATATATAATATAAATGAAATAATATAAAATTAAAATATATGGAGGCAGAGGCAACCACAATTGTCAGAAGTAGAAATTGCTCCTAATTCGTGATCTGATAGAAATTAAATCTTCTGGCATGTAATTCAATTGAATTCTTGTAGACATTCAAGATAGTGATAGAATTTAGGCATGGGTGAGCTTGGAATAAAATAGCATGCGTTTTTTTCGAGAAAATCCTGACATTAGGGGGTTCACTAGCCAATAATTGGAGCATCATAACCGAACAAGTCTCTTGACTAAGCTGATGAGTTTTAATTCCTAGGGTCAAGTCTCAATTTCATGGGATATGTTTTCGAAAGCACTCAAATTCCAATAATTTGAGCTCCAAGAACAGATCAAATTTCTGTTTTTCGTGTAGATCAGAAAGATCAATTTCGTGTGTTTTATCTATATGGCATGTTTCTTCTCTTTAATTATATCTCATTGGTTGTATTTGCAAATTTTTTTAGTTAAATTGATAAACATAGAAAAGAAAAAGGGATGATATCTTCTTTGATCAATTCCAAATATTTCGAAAACTTTCAAGAATAAAGTTGAATGAGAAAAATGTAAAATTATTACCATATACATGATACATGTATAAAATTTAAAATTAATTATGGTTCATATAATACATAATATTTAAAATGTATTTAACTAATTATAATACATGATATTAATTATAATACATAATGAACCATAAAAATATCTTATTTTGTATAATATAGCTAATTGCTCGGTAATTATGATGGTTACAAACAATTATGTATAATTTCAGTTAAAAAATGTTCTTGCTACCTCATCAAAAAGGAAAAAAAAAACTATTGTTTAAGTCTTAACGAAATCATTTTTAAGTGATTACGTACAAATATAAATATTTAAACTTATTGAATCTTAAAGTACCTTATTATTTTATAAATTTAAAGACAATATAATTATAGAGCCTCGAAATAACCATAGCAAGCCTCATTCTTTTATTTCAAATGTGATATGAAATTTCAGAATCAAATTATACAAGTTTGGAAAATTTTTTAAATCGAAAATGTTGCTATTAACAAGCAGAAACATGCCACCGTCAAATTAACCAATTTATTATTATTGTTGTTGTTGTTGCCTTGGAATTGGCAGTTATTGGCTAGAGAAGCCAATCCTGCCTCAGTAGCTGGCTAGAGGTGCTAACCAATTAAAAATCACATTTATAACTAGGAAAATATTTGATACTATTATTTAATAAGCTCTATTAATATCAAAATTAAAAGGTAGGAAACACTCAGTAAATCAGTAGTTTTCTTCTTTTAGTTTTTAATAAATCATGAAATGAATTGAAATTTATTTCACTTCTCCCATGTTCTATCAAACACTCTCTCTGGCCAAAAAAAAAAAAAAAAAGATCCCTGGCACTTTTTCTAGTGCCTGTTTGTATTTGTTTATAACTGAAATTTTATCTTACGTTCTTAATTAAGATTGTCGAAAAATGAATTTAATTAATCTCGACTCTCACGTAAGATGTTCGAGGATCTCCTTTCCTATTATATATATATTACTGAATTTTACTGATAATTAACTGGACATATAGTGTTTTTATATATATATAGCACTTAATTGATTGGATAAACAGCTCATAATCAAGGTTCATAATAGATGGAAACCTAAAAACCTAGTCTCATGTCTCAACCGTCGCATGGCTGCACGGCCATAAATCTCCCCACAACACAATAACCGTCTCCTCAACATACCCAATACCACTAGCCTCCATAAAGAAACCTCCCAAAATAACTGAAATCCCCACCAATTTGTTACATCCTCGTCGCCAAAAACAAACCATAAACAAGGAGGAAGAAACCCCAAAATATTGACGAAAGAATCCTCAATGTTGCAGAGAAAACTTAAAGAACTTGAACATGAACTCATGAACAAAGTATTCTCTCTTTCTGCCGGGACTCCATTGCCTAAACTATACACTCAAGACGTCGAGCAAAGATTCTTCTTTTTGAAAACTCTCTTGTCAGCAGAAACGGCATCAAGCTCTAAAAAGTCACAGTTCTGCTTGCAACTAATAGGCAAGAGACTATCAGACCTTGAAACTGCATTCTATGACTGGAGTGATAATAATGAAACAGTATTGACAGCACAAGACCAGTTGGGGAATGTTTCATGCACCGAATCTTGTCTTGATGATGATGGTGATCAGACTTCTGAGGAAACGGGTTTGCATGAATTCGAGGAGGCAGAGAATGTTTTTCAGAGTTTGATTGAAGTGAAGAAACCATTGAAGGAGACGGTTAGGGTTCTTGAAAAGAAGAGCGACTTGATCAAGAACAGATCAGGGAGGTTTTGCGGCGGTATGGCCAGTGGGGTGGTGATTGGTATGGCTTTAATGGGATTTGTGATGGTAACTTTAAGTGAATGCTTTCCTTATCTGAAACATAGTGTATGCCTTCCTCCTACTTAGTTACTTTCTTCGTCTTAAAAGAAATTGTCTATATATGTTTCTTATTTATATAATATAACAATTAATAATTTCTAACATGAAAAGTCAAGAATAATAATATCTTTAGACGAAGAAAGTATGCAATTCTTGATTAGAGTTTGTTTATTTTCTATATCTTTAAACTTTGGGAACAGTTCTGCTTGCAACTAATAGGCAAGAGACTATCAGACATTGAAACTGCATTCTATGACTGCAAATTTATTTCTTATAATATTATTTACGAAAATTTACATTTATTTTATTATTATTATTATTATTATTATTATTTTGTTCCAATTTACTTTGATTGCGTTTCCGTGATGATCAAGAACAAATGACGACAATGACTTTGTCTCTGTCATCATGTAACCCATTAGCTCACAAATCCCTATTGGTCTTGGTTCGATGAGTGAACATGACGATGAGAGATGAAAGAGTTCAGAGCTAGGTTTCAATTTGTCTTTAAAAAAAAAAAAAAAGCTAATATATGTCGTGACTGGAACAGAAGAATAAGATGATGAACGAATAGAAACAGAGGAGAAACAGATTTGGGGCTGAATGAATGAATCTTATCATCGGGCTGGGCATTCAGGAAAGAAAGAGAGGCCTAGCCCATTAAAAGAGGCATGAGTGCCCAGCAAGCCTTCCCACTGGGTTTTCCCAGCAGGCCTGGCCCAATGGGCCGAACGCCTAAGGGCCCAAAGGACCCAATCATCCCATTTTTAACCTTTTGTCCAAGTGAATCATGCCTAAACTTTTTTTTTTTTTTTTTTTAATATATGCTTTTACTTTCTTCATCTGTTTTTAATAGTTTTCTGGAAGTGAATTTCAACCATTGTCTTATGCCATACTTGAAGTCATATATATCTTGTTGGTGGAAATGTAGGATTGGAGCCATTGTATAGTTTGGTATAGAGCCTCCCAATATGAATTAAAAATCAAAATCTTAAAGATGGTCTGCATGGTGAATTGCTTAGTGAATTTGCATTCCTTGGTTGAGGGTAAAATTTTATAATTAAAAAAAAATATGAATTTTCTTTTAAGTAGTCAAATTGTTTGTATGAATTTTCCGATTTTTATTGATTTTTGTGCGTGTGCTTGTGTTTTCATAGGTGCTTTTCTCATACTTGACTAAAATTTAGCTTTGTTGTACTCTTTTTTGGTAGCTAAATTGTCATGGTTTGTCTATTCGTAGTCTTTGTGTCTCTCCTTTCCATTCGAGGAGAGAAAAACAATGAAAGAAAGAAACAATATAGGAATTGTAATTATTTAGAAACAAGTAATAATTAAATAATCATGAATTTCAAAATTAAACAGCTATGAATTTTAAATTTTTAATCTAATCACCTTTACTATTCACGGGTTATCATTTTGTTTTTGATTTATCGAAAGATCTATGAATTTCGAACTACACGGTAAGAAATACTCTTTCCTTATTACACAATAATCAAATAAACAAATCGAACATGTTTTACCCAAGAAAAAAGATGTTTGGATGTACAACCACTAGCTAGGTTATACATGTTTTTGTAAATTAGTTATTAGATCAAAGATCTAATGATTGAAAAAGAGATATTTTTATTGTGCTTGAGAATTGATTAAATGTTGCGATAATTATATAATTTATCATTAACTATTAATAATTAATCTCCCAACGAGTTCTATAAAAGTATTTAATCCTATCCAATAAAAATATAATTTATCTCTCAACGAGTTTTATAATTGTTTAAAATCTTTTTTTCATTAGATAAGTCTCTTGCATTCCTAAGCTCTCAAGCTCTAGCACCAAATGCCCACTGCCTGTGATCTGGATCTTTATTCTGATCATATTATTAACTTAAATATGATCATATTATTGACTTAAATATGGGATCAGTCCTTGACTCCTTGTAAGGAAGGGCTTACCTTATTTTGCAGACCTAATCAAAATTCTAGCCTAGTTAAATTCTCAAAAACGTTACTTAGAAATTTTGTCAGATCAATAAGAAAAATAAAATAAAATTGATTTTTATATAATATAGTAACGAGTAATGTTATTCAATTTAATTACTTTACTCCTAGGAAAATATGAAATAACCTCTTCACTGCCATCCATAAATATTTATCAGATGATCTCAGAATTTTTAGATTATTTTCTCTTTACATCATCATTGTGCTATTTTGTATCTGATCTTTTTTCTTAGAGTTTATTTTTTATAATACCAATTCGATTATAAGAAAAAGAAAAAACTAAATATTTATAGTTAATTATCTCACCATCTTTCGTTTGGATGTCATTACACTTTGCATTCTACATTTTTAAAACCTTACACTTTTTGTCTTCTATCTTTGCAATAATTTCATTTTCCATATTCCATTAAGAAAATCTATGAGATGATCATTAAAATTTAAGTTGACTTTACTATATATGTTTGGAAAAACACAAGTTTTTCTTCTGCAAAACGAGACAGGTAGATGTAGCAACTTTGATTTCTGCAAGCACTTATTAAAAAATATTTGATTAAAAGTTTACTTGATAGTTAGAGACCGCTATTCAACGAGACAATGGAGAGTTTTTTTTTTTAACATGGATACTTTTGGAATTTTAAAATTTTCAGCTAGACTTAAAGGTAAAATTTGTAATTTTAAAAAATTTAGAATATAAAATGCCATTCCATTCAAAGCGGAAAAGTGACGAGATAATTAAACTTTTTTTTATACCTTAATGCAAATGTAATTTTTTTTCTTTTTTATAAATGAAAATTATTTTTATTTTTTACAACAACACATTTAGAAGCATCCGATAAAGTCTACCATTACGAAATTCGGGACCAGGGTCCATGGACTAAATGGATTTGGAGAAATAAGGCAAAACATAAGCCCGGTTAGATCAGGCCATCCAAACCCACTTTCGAAATCATGAGGAGGGCCATCGAAGCCCAGAGCTCTAATCAGTTGTAAATATCTAATCACAGAAAAGAAGAAATTCTGGTCCATTGGACTCCCCAACATGATGATTGGGTAGAAATCCATGTTGATGGATTTGTTGGTGACAACCCGAATCCAGTTAGACTCTCTGTATCCGTCTGATGGCAACGGTTCTTTTTGCTGATATTATAATAAATAAGGTGGGGTTTAGACGTGGGGAGTATCTAAAACTAATCATTTGGCTCTTAGAAGAATATTAGAAGAGTAAACTATTCTTTCGTTTCTAGATTTCAAATCCTATATAACTTTGCATCTCACAAGGTAAAAATATAACCATATTAGTATCTATGAATAAAAAATATACCAAACAAACAAGGCAATGGAGGTTGGAAGAGAGGAAAAGATAAAAAAAGAGGATCAAGGAAGCTGAGTGTGAGGGTAAAAGGAGAATAACTGCAATATAATTAAAACAAAAAACAAAAAAAAGAAGAAGAGATATAACTTATGTTAAAATATATATATATATATATATATATATATATATATATATATATATATATATATATATATATCAAACACCTGTTGCATAAACGAGTTAAAGGAATAGTGACATTGAGTTTGATGCCACAATGAAAAAAACAATAAAAGTCTTTTGTGTTTTAGAGTTTTTGTAATATTTTAGCACGCAAAATATATAAAATTAGATAGTAGGTGAGCTTCCTTTGAGGAGAAGATAATTGTCATTGTAGAGTTGTAATAACCCCGTCCCAAAAACATACATTGTTTATGCATATACGCATACTTAGGAATTACACGCATATAATTATATCTGCATATGACATGTTAGTGGGGCATTGGATAATAAGTATTTTGAATAATAGGAAGAATTAGGGGCTCAATTGAATGTAATCTAAGTTGGGGGACTAGAATAAAAACAAGCTAAAACTCGAGGGACCAAAATGAACTTTGCCAAAATATCTTCACAACCTTATCAAGATTACTTACCTGATCATTATCTTTTCTTATCCCATCTGGTTTCCCGTTTTGAGAGAGAGAAAGAGAGGAAAACCCCATTTCTTTGTCAAATTCGGATGATCAAGCTGAAAATCTAGGTAAGTTCATCCCCAACTCTGTTTTGCACTCTTGATTTCGAGACTTTAGGGTCAGATATGGAACAAGTTGTAAGAATAAAAATTGTTTTTTTGTGTCTTATCTAGCTCTTTGGGAAAGGGTTTTGTATTTAGTGATTTATATTTCGGTTTATGATGGTTTGAACACATGTTGTTCTGGGTGATCCGATGCTGGCAGATTAGTGTGCAAACTTTAAAACTATGGTATTCTTCGGGTGTTGAGTATTTAGACCTGATTTTCGGATATGTTTTATATTGATATGTCTAGTTCTTTTTAAAAAAAGAATTAGGTCTTGATCATGTCCCAATCTAGATTTATTATTGTTTGTTTGGAGACTGCTCGGTAACAAAGGTGCTTGGAAGCTAGTTAGAGTTTAAAAATCTAGAATAAATCATGTATATGGAATATTGGGCTGATTTTTGGATATGTTAGATCTCTTTGAGTCTAGTTTCATGTGAAACTGTAATTTTGTCATTTTACCTCATATTTTAGGATTTATAGCACAAAGAGTGTGAACTATGAAGGGGTCAAGTACCCATAAAGAAATGGCGAGCAACTCGATTTTTAGAAAATCACCATGAGTTGTGTATTTCGTACCTAGACTTGATTTTTGGAAATGTTAGATCCCTATGAGTCTAGTTTCATTTCAAACTAGAATTGCATCATTTGAATCTGTATTTTGGGACTTATGGTAGAAAGAGTGAAAAGGGGTCAAGTACCCACAAAGAAATAAGTTAACCTTAAAGTCATATTTTGTACCTTGAGCATATTTAGAAGTTTGATCATGATAAAATGACTTATAAAAGTGTATGTGTATGTGTTTATAGACGCCGAGGAGTGGGAGGTGCAAGACGCGACGCATTGATAAACGACGAAGACGTCATTTTTGTGAGTTGAATAATAATAGTTGTGCCATGATGTGTTATTGCTATTGAGTGCTAATA